ACCATATAGTGTCTTATGCTTTGATTTTACCTGGAAAGATATCACAGATAATTTTCTAGGACTAGGGAGTCTTAACAGAGTGTCTTAGCTTCATTCCTGTTGGGATAAACTACCCTGACTCACATAACATAGAAAAGAAAGGATTTATTATAGCCTGTGATTACAGGTTAGAGGCCATCCCAACATGGAAAACAAAGTGGCGGGGATTTGAAACAGCTAATCATATTACATCCAGAGTCAAAAGAAGAGAACAAGGAACTCATGCATGCTTCCTTGTGCTCAGCTCACTTTCTCTACTCTTACACAGCTCAGGATCCCCTGCCTAGGGAATGGTGCTGCCCAGAGTGGGCAGGTCTTTCCACCTCAATAGCTGTAATCAAGATAGCCCTGCATAGGCATGTCCACTAAGATAGCTGATCTAGCCAACCCCTTACTAAGACATAAGTACTTCTACATTGTGTCAAGTTAACATTTAAACTAATTGTCACACAAAAGGACCGTCACAATGTACTGGTTTGCTAATAATAAAGCAATAAAATCCCCCTCCCAAAATATGTCAAGGGGGACACTGTACATTTTGACTGCATATGACAAAACTGTCCTTTCAAAAGATTGGAAGAATTTACTAGAGTAACTATATTTTTTTCTGCTTCAAAATATGTCGATTATCATTTTAGGTAATTTAACCTATATAAGAGAAGAAGAGAGAATCTCATTCCCAGAATGCCTTTCCTTTTGTTTGTTTGTCTTAGTAAGGTAGAATTTGGGTTCTGTTAGGTCATTGTTCCATTACTCTAAACAGCCATATGTATCTTTGCATTTAAATTTGACAATGGTGTTTGTCTGGCAGTGCTGGGGGTCAAACCTAGGTGCTTGTGTAGGCTAGGCAAGTAACTGCATTATTGATATAACCCCCAGCCCTTGTTTCATTTGAAGTAGTATCTCACTATGTATTGCAAGCTGTCCTGGAATTCACCATGTAGTCTGGGCTGATCTGAAACTCATGTTCCTCCCATTAAAGCTTCTCAACTGCTGGGTGGGTTACAGTCTTATCACCCTACACCTCATCTGACAACAGTATTTTCAGATATTACATAGCAGCTTATTAGAAGAGCACGCAAGTCTCCAAGGAGTTGGGCTTGCACTCTGGGCACCACAGGAAGCAAGGAAGGAGGCACAGGGCTGGAAGCATACTGTCAATCAGCCTTGGTTCCCACAAGATGTGTGAACACTGCTCATAGGAATCACATAGCACCCGTCTCATGGAAAATTTCGTCATTCAAACAGACGGATGTCATTCAATCCCTGCTGTTGTGGTCCAGAAAGGCACTGTGGGACCCCATGCTGCTTCCTCTCTTTCTTGGCAGGTCCCTCACGCCTGTGACTGCCTGCCTTGATCTCAGACAGGGGTGGGCCAAAGGGCAACACCATACTGGGTGTTTAATAGCTGACTCTGCGTTTGTACCTAATATCCAGTCACGACTATGGTCCATGTTTACAGAGAAGTGGATCAGCAGAGCCACTAAGAGGTTTGGCACCTATAAGCTCTCTGCTCTCCTTTAATCGGGGGGCATGGGCATCACTCACTGCATTTTCATTTGCTGGACTTCTGTAAACTTTATAGGTATTTCCTAAAGAATATACCTCCAATGGAGTCTACCCATGTTGGTGGCAGACTGTTTCAATCAGGCCATCAGCTTGGACGTGGTGTTGACCAAGGATAAGAAGGCAATAGCTATGCTTAGTGAAGGCATCAGCTCACGGTTTTACTCCCTGAGAAAACTCAAGACAGTCACATATGTACATGTATGTGGTGGCTGATCTTGATTGCCAGCTTACAGCATGGAGGAGTTGAGGAGATTGGTGAGGCATATCCTGAGTGTGTATGTGTGCGCGGACACGCGCGTGTGTGAAGAGCAACCCTGAATAGAGGAGGCACCATCCTGGAGGCGAGGTCCAGGGTAAATCGAAAGGGAAAAGGGAGAAATCCAGGTATTGCAGGCATGCTCTCTCTTTCCTGGTTGCCATGAAGCAAGCTGTTCTGTCCACCAGAACTCCTACTGTAATAAACTTGAAACAATCAGTCAAAACAAAGCTTTTCTTCCTTCAGTTGTTTATGTAGGGCATTGGGTTGCAGTGACTACCAAACTAACATGGCGCACACACACACATATGCACACATGTATCAATACTTATTTTACATATATGCAGATGATAGACATACATAATTTACTTATTTATTCATTTAAATATCTCCCATCAGCTGAGAGTAAAACAATAAATATATTAAAAGGGGGAAAGGAGGACAACACACAAGTATGATTTATTCAAAATACACAATATTCAGGTAATAGTATGGCAAACCTTTGCCACTATTTACAACCTACTGTAGCATTTGATCTTGAAAAGGTTGCACTGTCAGCACTGGGTAGGGGACAAAGGACACTGTCTGGCATCCAGAAATTGCTTCTCAAAAATTGGCTTCTGAAGTTTATTAAAGGAAAATGCATGTACACACACACACACACACACATATATATAATATATTTCCAAAAAAATTTAACAGCCAAATCTTATGAGCTTGGCTGGAGCTACATTTGGCATCAATGCCTTGAAAGTTTAATATATACAAACCCTACGGAAGAAAGTGCCCATGAATATCACAGGAGCTCATGGTTAAGAGTCGCTAGTACAGCACTAGTATTAGCTTACTTATTAAAAATAAAATATTCCTCTCTTTAATAAATATTTGTAAAATACCTAACATTTCATTAGTTCCTGAGATTATAATTCTGTCATTATTTGAGGTTGATGATTAAACAGGATCCGAGTCTCTTTATACTGCCTGTGCATGCAGAATTGGAAAACACCTGCCCGAAGCCAAGAGTTAAGCAAAGCAAGTTTTTAATCAAACACTAATAAGACCGAGAGACAGAGAGACTCACTTTTGCTTTTTACTCCTAAGAAAGAGAGAGAGAGAGAGAGAGAGAGAGAGAGAGAGAGAGAGAGAGAGAGAAACAGATAGACAGTGAAAGACAGAGACAGAGGCAGAGAGAGATTCACTTTTGCTTTTTACTTCTAAGAACCCAAGCAAATTAGATGAAATGAAAATAAAAATAAGTAAATAAAATAAAAACAGGCCCTACCACACTTAACTTTAGTGGGTGAAAATGAGAGAGAGAGGCCAATGGCTAAGCAATGCCTGGCAAACGGTGAAAGACACCAAGAAAAGAAAGTTAATGGCTTGGGACGACATCAGCATCCGTCAGGAAAAACAGGACACCTTCCAGATCCCAGCCACAGGCCCTGGCAGGAAATGGCAATCACTTGCATTCAGAGCTGATGAGGGCTACAGGGCTGCCAGTCTCCCGCCCTGGGACGGGCACAGAGGGTTCTGGTCATGGGTGGGTTTCAAAGCGGTCCTTGGTGTGCCTGCTTCCCTGTCTACTCTGCCCCTCACACAGATCCCTCATGAAGTGATCATCCAGGAAGTCACACAAATGTGCTCTCTAGCACCTCGTATTGGCTCTTTGTTTACAGCAGTGAGGAAGCATAAAGACACATGCACATATCAGTCTGCTAGGCCTTCTTGCAGTGTGAGCCTTCCAAAGATTTCCAAAATACAAACAGGTCCCCTGGTCAGAGCTGCAGGAATACTGCTCCCTATCATGTGTCGGTACCGGTAACCACAAATGGCCTCCTACCAGCCCCTCCCCAGAACCACCAATGTGTGCAGCAAGCACACCCACGTGTACATCCCACAAGTGCTTCTAGAGTTCACACCAGGTGCGAAGCACTGCTCCAGAAGACACCGCTGTCCCTTTACAATGCTCATAAATACTGTAATTCTTCATTTGAGGTGATAGGAGGAAGGGGACAAGGCTCTGTATATTTCAGAAGCTGTAAAGTTTATACTATACATTGAGAGCCATGAATATAGGAAGACAATTATTCAACATGCATTCATCTGTTTTCCATCCATCCACCCACCCACCCACTGTCTATCCATTGCTCAGTCAGTCAGCCCCCATCAAATTCCATCCAATCATCCATCCTTCCAGCCATCCTCCACCTCCTGCCTATTATCCATCCACATAAAAGTAACAACATTTCTAACCAGCAGTACATTCAGTTCTTACAATAATCTCAGAAACACAGATCTTCCAGGGAAAAGAGACTATTGTTGCCCAGATTTACAGCAGAGAAAATCTGAGCTTTCGAGAGTTCAACATGGCTAATCACAACTGCACATGCACGTGTGTGTCTACACCTGTGTAAACACCAGAGGACAACCTCAGCAGTTGTCCTTCCTCAGGTGTTGTTCACCTTGGGTCTGTTTGTTTTGCTTTTTTTTTTTGAGACAGGGTTTCTCTGTGTAACAGTCCCAGCTGTCCTGGAACTAGCTCTTGTAGACCAGGCTGGCCTCGAACTCACAGAGCTCTGCCTGCCTCTGCCTCCCCAGTGCTGGGATGAAAGGCAGGTGCCACCACTGCCTGGTGCTCACCTTGTTTCTTTGAGTGACGGTTTCTCACTGGCCTGTATCTCACCAAGTGGCTGAGGCGGCTGCCAGGAAACCCCAGGGACCACTTGTCTCTGCCTTCCAGTGCTGAGATTACAAGCACATGACACCGCACTCACAGTTTTCACAATTATGTGGGTTCTGGCATTGAACCCAGTTCTTTGAGCTTTCAAGGTTGCACTTTATTGACTGAGTCATCACCCCAGGCCCAGAATTTGGACTCGTGAACTTCGAATCTCTAGATAATCATTTTCAAGTTTTTCTTCCCAGTTCATTTAGATGAATAAGAGACTCATAATAGATTCTTTACCTTTCACTATCTGAATTCATGAGTTGGTGAGAGGGCTTGTCCTCAGTCGTCTAGAGCACTGTCACCTACTAACTAATACAGCCACAAAACCAGTGACATGGACATTTGATGAGCCAAAGACAAGGCACAACACATAGGACATTCCAACAATGATACTTGTGTTCCACACAGACCGCGGAGAAGCTCCTGCTTGTGTCAGGAAGAAACAAGCACACCGACTTTACTCTAGTGCTTTAGGACACTGACAAACTGGGAAGGATGTGATGTCCCTTCATGAGAGACGGGAACGTTTCTCAGCGGAGTGCAGGGTGGGCGAAACTTAGAAGAGCATTCCAAGCACGGGCTGGGAGACAAAGACAGGAGAAGAACGATACACATGCAAACGTAAGTCAGATAAAGATACGGCATGGCATCAACAGTATAAATCACTTGTAGATGAGAGCAGATGGGGCAAAATTATTCTTCAAATTTGTCTGTCAGTGTCGGGGTAAGACTCTGTCTGTGGAGATAGACTCTCAGTGTATAACCCACTGACCTTCAAGTCATTGTGATCCTCCTGCCTTAGCTTCCTAAGTGCTGGGATTATAGACACAAGCTTTCTCTTTCCTGGGACTTGAACCCAGGACTCTGGAAATGCTGAGTAGATACTCTGCGGATGATGTGCCTTAGGTGGGACTATTTCTAGGAAAAGCGAGGAGGCACAGAAGAGGTTTCACTTGCCCCTGTGTGATTTTATCACACCACAAAATGCTTGAGGCAGGCGTGGGAAAATATCAATAAGCTGCCTTAAAACTGAGAATTGCAAGCATTTATCATTACGTTTTTTTTTTGCATTTCTATACAATTTTTCTTTTTGGACAGGACATCGTTATGTAGCCCAGGTTGCTTTAAAAAAATTTACCCCATGATTCTCCTGCCTCAGCCTCCAGGTGTGTGCAACGACCTGACTCCTTAAAATTGTTTTTTTTTTTTGTTTCCTGAATGCCAATATTGTTTGTGTGATAGCCAAGTGTAGGCTTATCACACAGAGCTTTACGTCTAGTAGTATAAACTCAAGACAGCAAGATTTAAAACAGCACCCATCAAATGGAAAACAGTTATTTGGCAAAAACCCTACCCAAACACAAAATTCAACTGACTAAAAGCGGTCGGGACATTATGAGAGAATGAGACCGGAGGCCTGCCAATATTTCCCTGCTTCTTTCACAGCAGGCTTTATTTCTGGATGTCCACATGCACAACTGCATACACCATGGCGATGAATTGCTCATGAACCTTCAGTCATTTTTTTCTTCAACAAAGGCTTAACTTTTGCCTTCTTCCCACCCTGTAAGTCATACGATCTTTCTTATAAGATTTAGAACCTCTGATCTTATTCTTTATTTGAGACATGCAAGCTCTTCCACAACAACCCGTCAGAACACCAAAATATAACGTTCACAATAAACCTAAGCAGGGGGTGAACAAGGACTTTTTTTTATACTGCAAGACGGAAAGAGAAAAGCAAACATTCGTTTGAAATGGCAGGAGAGTCCGTTCTTAACCTCGTGTCTGCCGAGCTGTGCGACGAAAAGTTCACAAATGTATTTTAAAGACTGGGAGACTAAACCTGTTGACCTTAAATGATATGACTCTGAAAAACATATTTATGTTATGTAATGGGATAAAAAAAAAAAAAGTAAAGGTCACTTTGCTTTTCAAGGTGAGGTTGAGTGAGGATCTTAGTTTCCTGCTGCTAGTTGGTAGTTAGTTGGTGGTAGCAGTTAGTAGTAACTAGTACTTGATCCCATGGCTACGCACTCTCTTCAGCAGAGGGTAGGTGGCTGTCAAGTGGCCACTCTGAAGGTTGTGCAATTTTTAATAGCTGAATTCTATGTCTCCCTGTTCATATGGCCTTCACCCTCCACTTCCTTCCTGCTGGCTCTGATGTAGTTCCGGTCTGGGTCCAGCACCTGCTTGGGAGGCGTTTGTAGAAGATGCTATGTTATGATGTATTGCCAGCCTGATCCACCTCAGCTGTTGGGAGCTCTGTGAACTGCCAGCTCTCAGCTCCCTCTGGAAATTTCCTCTCCTTTAAAGAGAGCTGCCTCCTCCAAGGGTAGCCCAGCTTTCAAGGGCCATCTTTCTCGGGGAGCTAATGGGAATAGAGGTGAAAGGCAATGAATGCTCTTGTTTCAGCTAGGGATAACTCTTGGCTCCAGAGCTACCTGTGAGGTCGGTTGTGGCTTCACTGGTCATGAATTGTAAATAAACCTCTCTGGGTTCACTTAACTCTGCCCTCTTCCTGGTCTCCTATAGAGGGAACAATCCTCACAGGCCTTGCTGATAACCTTCCTGCTTATTGACCTTAGTCTGATTGGTAAGCAATACAATCTGCACCAGCATGCATGCTGTTCCTGGCTCCAGCGTAAGGTGAGTTGGGTTTGTTATGGACCTGTTCTCACCCATGATCTGTGAGAAGTAACGTAAGCCCCACTGGAGGCCACACCCCTAATTTCCAGACCCTAAAACGCACTTCGCTTTACTGTGAACATTGTATGAGTCTGAAAGATAGTGATGAACAGTGCCTGCCACCATGTGAAAGGCTCGATAGTATGGGGAAATCCAAATCTTGACTTCTGTATGACGCTGGGCCGTTTCTTGTCATTACCACATGTATGCAGGGCCCGCAGATGTCAGAAGAGGACATTGGATCCCCTGGAACTGAGGTTATTGACAGTTAGGAGACATCATATGGATGCTGGGCCGTGAACTCCTCTATTCTGAGTGATACACCAACATTGCCATCACTACCTTCTGATCCCCTTCCCTTCTGACCCCCACTATTCTACCCTGTTGAACCCTGCCACCCTCACTGCTGCCAGCAACAGTTCTAAGTCAACAGCTCCCTCTCCTAAGAGTCTAAAGAAAATGTCAGAAGTACCAGACCATCTGAGGGCAGATGTCGCTCTCAGTCCAAATGTCTGACACTTTCTGCTCAGCAGGCTCTGAAGAAATCCTTATCGCCTGAATGCCCTTCTGTTTCCCTGCACCTAGAGGACTCTACTTGTCCTTCACAGACCAGCACGGGGACCAGCTCCTCCCGGAAGTCTCCCACGGTCTGCTTTTCCTACTACTCCCGTCTGGTGTGAGAGTTCTCTGAGCGTCACCTGAAAGTCAGCTGCTTTCCTAGAGTGCTAGTTTCTTAGCGTTCTCCCCTCCTTAACCTCTTGTTTATGGAGGGCCGGAGGGCCAGAGGGCCCAGGAGGTGCCTGCTGCTAACCTTTGGGGCTGTAACTGGTAACAGAGTGAGCAGATGTTCATTATTTTAGGTGCGAATGAAGAAGCTTATTGATCAATCACTGGTCATATCAGTCATCACCTTTTATATATATACATAGAACCGAGCAAAAGTAAACTGATCACTTAATTGAGCAATTTAAAATTAGAATCTTAAATGTTTGCACTGAGTTTGCATTTTGCGGTGGTGTGCCTGCGGAGGAGGGAGATGGCCAGAGCAGGACATTAGGTGTCTTCTTCTATTTCTTTTCCTTACTTCCTGGAGGCAGGGTCTCTCACTGAACTGAAGCTTACCATTTTGACTGTTTTGGCCGAGCAGTGAGCTGTGACTTCCGATGCTGGGGTTACAAACATGTGCTGCTATGCTCAGCTCTTCGTGTGAGTGCTGTGATTTGAACCCAGGTCCTTACGCCTGCATAGCAAGTGCTCTACCCAGCCCCTTAGATTTTTGATGAGAAAATATTTCAAATTCTGTTTTTCTGTGATAGAATTGTGGGATTTTTTCCCTTAACATTATTTACCCCACACTGCTTTTTAAAATGTAGTTTCTTACTCTAAAGGGGGAAATGGTAAATTTATTTTTCAGATTGATACCAGTCATTTAACTCTAAGCAGCAGGGTCACAGATAGCTATTCTACTCCAGTAGTATCAGAGCAGCCACAGATGGGTAACTGCATAGCTGTGTGACAATAAAACTTTATTCATAAACACAGGAGACCAGTTTCAGAGTATAAAACAAAGGGTCAGAGCAAGCAAAGTGCATGTGTTTTAAAATAACAGAGACCACCAAATGCTTGATGCAGCCTTGTCCTGGGGAACACATGGCTTTTTTTTTGTTTGTTTGTTTGTTTGTTTCAATCAAGCCAGGGAGGCACAAAACACAAGTGTTAGCACTCTGGATCATCATAGAGAAATGAGCTCAGAAATCTGACTACAAGATGCCTATGGCTTTCTATATTTTTGTATTAGGTTAAAAGAACATGGGACTGCCGCTGAAAACACTTCAAATACCCTACATCTAACCCATACACGAAGGAATTCTTGCCTTCTTTCTTAATAAACATTTACTCACTGAAGATGGGAACTTAATTTCCATATAGCTTGTCTCGGGTATAAAACCAATAGCAATACTGTCAGTGACCTTTTATCCCAGACACTCCGAGCTCAGTGCTAAGGTTTTATAAAAAAACAAGAACCTGCCTTTATTAAGTATTTTCTTATGCCTGCAAAGTGTCAAGTGCTTTATGAATATATCTCCCGAGTTTCCCCCCTGATCCCACACCGCAGTTATAGTGCTTCCTTGTTACCCAAGAGGAAATGAGGTTCAGAGAGGGGAAGTAATTTGTACAAGGTCAGGCTTGGTCAAGTGAAGCCTGCAGACTCTTCAAGTCCTGAGCGCTGTGCCTTCTCTTCTGTGCCAGCTGCCTGTCCCAGAGGAGCTGATCCAGCCACTTCTAGTCATAAATACCCCAGATTCAGTTCAAGTTGCGTCCTGTTGGAGGCAATGACTCCATTCACGGTTTATAGGAAATTCTACCTTGGGGACCCTGGCGAGGCGAAAATCTAACCCCAAGTAACAAACGGAGGGCTTTGTTAGAGCATGCCACAGTTCACAAAAAGCAACAAGAGTTGATCTTTTGTCAACAATATTCCTTCATCACGTTCTAACTCACACAAGTGAGATAATTAATTACCACAATGCATCCCATCCAGGAGGGGTATGAGCAGGACAGGCAAGCAGCTGAAGAATGAGCTTTGAGGATTTTGCCTAAATGATCAAGTTTTGTACCTGACAAAAATCAAACGTAAGTCTTCGCTTATACAGTGGGTCTTTGTCAAACAGTCTCAGGGGACCGCTCTTTCTGCTGTGTACTTAGCCCCATTACTACAAAAATGCCTTATAGTAAATACCGTCATTATTCATAGTTGGTTGGCAAATTAAATCACTTGCTGTTCCAGCATCTAGAAGTGGAGGAAGTGTTCAATTCCAAAGAAATTATGCCTTCCCAGCTTTGCCAGCCTGGCAAAGAACATCACTGCCAAAGGCTTTATGAATAGGTGAAGGATCGTCTTTCAAGTGTAGTATATGAATAAACAAAACCACCCCAGAGGCCTGCCAGATATTTCAGGTAATGGATATCTCCTGCCCCACCCTGCTTGCCCGCTCTCTAGAGTGATCCAGCAATGGCTTTCTTCACAAACAAGACTATTAAGACTAGGAGCAAGAAAATTGACACCTTAGAAAAATCAACAAGATGTTTAAAAAATAGGTTGAGTAACACACAGTACTCTGGCGTGCAGCTGGTTCATACGGCAGCACACTGGGCAGAATGGCGGCAGAGTCTTCTGCACGTTTTGGAACTCAGAATTCTAGTTAGTCTCATCCCGAGCCCCCGCACTCAATTCAAACAACTGCAGCAAAAATACTTTAAAAGGTATTTGTGTCTTCATCTTTGAACGTACCTCGAAGAATAAGCCTTTTCACTGAGAGAATGCTCAGTTTGAGATTCTCATTATGTGAGAGACGCCGATGGCTGCATTTAAATTGTGCATGTGATGTGTGTGTCCACGTGCATGCCTGCAGGCCAGAGGAGGACTTCGGGTGTGCTGCCCTAACACTTTCTGCCATCCTTCCCAGGGTTGCTCATTGAGCCCGGAAGTAGGATTGGGGCCAGCAAGTCCCAGCCATCCTCCTGTTTCAGTTACCAAAGGCACACATGGCCATGCCCAGTTTCTTTTTTTTTAAAAAAAATATTTATTTCTTTATTATGTATACAATATTCTGTCTGTGTGTATGCCTGCAGGCCAGAAGAGGGCATCAGACCCCCATTACAGATGATTGTGAGCCACCATGTGGTTGCTGGGAATTGAACTCAGGACCTTAGGAAGAGCAGGCAATGCTTGTAACCTCTGAGCCATCTCTCCAGCCCCCATGCCCAGTTTCTTACATATATTCTGAGTATTTGAACTCAGCTCCTCGAACTTGTACCACATTTTCTCTCACCCTCTGAGCCATCACCCCAGGCCCTGGCTGACTTTTAATCAAATATTGTACCCTTCCTCAGTCTCCCTTCCTTTGATTGGTAGACCCTTTGGGAGGACCCTGATCTAAACAATGGATAAATCACACATGGGTTCACAACTGAATGGAGGCTGTGAAAGGTGGAGGCCTTGATGAGAGGAAATGGGTGACCAGGAGCGTGTCTTTGAAGGCCACATCTTTTCCACGGCTTCATCGTCTCTATTTCTGTGTTCTGACTACCATGAGGCAGTCATCTTTCCCTAGCCATGGTCTTCCACTATGATGGTTTTGCCTTGCAACAGCCCTAAAAGAGTGAAATCAATCAGTCATTCCAGACTGAAACCTTGAGCCAAAATGAATCCTCCCCACTAAGTGTTTCTCTCAGGTATTTGTTAGAGCATCGGACACTGACCAATACAGGCAAACATGTGGTCAGTGGGCCCTAGCTCATTCCCAGTTTCAGATGCTGCCTTATATTCCAATCAGGCAATCTGATATATTTTTTTTAACCCCTTTGTTATTGCCACCTTAGAGAGTCTTTTATCATAATGTATGTTTTTTTTGGCAACCCACTCCTCATTTAAAAATATTCCTCATTTAAAAAATAAACCATTTATTTATTTGGGTTTGCATGTGGTTGGGTGGGTGCCATGCGTACGAGTGGAGGTCGGAGGACAACTTGTAGGAGTCTGCTTTCATTTCACCCTGTGTGTTCTGGGCACTGAAATCAGGTCATGAGACTTGGAGGCAAGCGCCATTACCTGCCGAGCCAGCTCACCGGCTCCCCTTTTCACTTTGAAAGTCACACATCGAATCTTTGCTTATTCATTATTATCATCATTGTTATTATTGACACCCTGAGAATTGAACCCAGTGCCTCACATATGCTAGGCAAGGGCTCTACCGGTGAGCTACACGCCAGAGTGAGGAGGAAGCTTTTTCCTTTTGCATCTCCTCCAGAAACCATTTTTGTTCCTTTTGGGCCATACCATGCCACTGAGGATGTGTGGAGAGTCATCCTGTTCCCTGGGCCAATTAGTGCATGGCATTGTGGCTGTGCATAACATCTGGGTGGGCATACCCTACATAGCAGCCCAGACGATACATAGGGATTTTTTGATAGGTGGATATGAGCAATCCACTCCTTCTCTGGCTATGTTGATACGTAAGCCTGACGGATGGCCACATTTATCAGACACCAGGAGGAAAGGGGTCTCAGGAGGATGAGCCGATAACTGCGCACAGCAGGTTGGAGAAACGAGCACAGGGCCCTCGTCAAACCGCATGCACATTTGCTCTCTGAGTAGAGCGTCAGCTGCGTCGCTCTTACTTCTTTTTACTCCCTAGCTCTTACGGCCATCAAAAAAAAAAATCCTAGATAGAACAGATAATATTTACTGGATGCTTTCCAAGCTCTAGGCAGTGTGCTAAATATTCTACATGTCAATTAACTCTTATTAACCTCTTTAATTAGCATTGTTCTACCCCCACTTCACAGAGGATGAAAGTGAGGCACAGGAAAGTTAATTTCCCCGTGGCCCCACACCGGGTGAGCTTGGATTCGCCCCTTGTCTGTCTCGGGGGCTGAGGGTAGAAACCGTTTTCTTTACTACTTCTCAGTCTCTATAATCTGCACCACTATTTTATTGCCCAGCGTTTGAAAAGCGGTTTTATTTATTTATTTATTTATTTATTTTTTTTGAAAAATGATCTTTCTAAGCCAGCCTGGAGCTCAGAGGTAGAGTATTCACCTAGAAAGACCAAGGTCTTGGTTTCACACCCAGAACTAAACAAACAAACAAACAAACAAACATCTTTAAAAATGACCAAGCATTAGGTCTGCGACTCAGTCTGGGATATTGGATAGCAAGCCCCAGGTGAATGAGAGACCCTGTCTCAAAACTAAGGAGAATGATATTGCTGAGGAGTGATACTTCTGGCCACACACACGTGCACATGTACCGCATGCCTGCCTACATGTGTGCACCCACATACTCATGGGCCCCCCCAAAAAGCATTTTCAGAATCGAAAAGAATAACAACTGATCCATCTTGCAGAGAAGCCAAAGACTCTTGGGTGTTTGGAAGCTTTATTTCTAAATTGCTCAGTAACAGCATTAGCGTTAAGCCACAAATCCTCTGAATCCATGGCCGGTGGGGCACAGAGCCTGTCTGGTTGGCTACGATATTTGTGCTTGCCTTTTGAAAGTTCCTCAGATATTAAATAGGAAAGGCAGCACGGCACAGGGGTGGCACTTACTCTATAAACAAAACTGAACAGGGACTTCCCAACTAAGAAAAGGTCTGCCTGGTTCCCAAAAGCCAGGGGTGTAGTCTCCTGTGGGCAGATGGGCTCTTTCTACAGTTCCCTAATGCTCTCAAGCCCCAGCAGCCTTCCAGGGCTCTCAATGTGCCCTGCTGGCTCCATTTCAAAATGCATAATATCACAGACATGTTAGGCAAGCCAGGAGCCATTGGAATCACAGGTTAAAATGTTCTTTATATTTTAACAAGGATGGAAAGCGAACATTCATTCCCCAGAACTCTCAGAGTCTGTCCTTAGCTGGCCTTTATTCTATCCGGTTGACGGGAGACCATGACTTTTCAAAATCAAAGCTTGGGCACATGAGGGAGACACTATGACAGATACATTTCAGCCCTATTAGGGATAGGGTCGAGTTACATGTCAGGGGTTTCAAAGACTGTACTAAAGTTAACCCATACTCAGGAAACAAGTCCAGGTAAAACCTTCATAATTTAACTCTGTAGCTTTTATACTTTATCTTAAAGATATTAATAACCAAAACAGAGAACTTTTAAATCTATATACTGCTGTTCATAAAAATTCAGGCAAGTTGCAGTCCCAGAGAAAATGAATGGTCTCCTCATTGGGCAAAGTTGCTACAGATTTTGCCTGCAAGACGGGGCCAGCAAAGGAATAAAGAGGCTGTGTTGTGTGACAGATTAAATCCAAACATAAGCATCCCAGTGCTTGGCCAAGCCAGCCTTCCCTTCCCTAGCCAGTCAGCCTCCCACAAAGTGCTCAGATTTTACTGTCCTTCCTCCCCAAAGCCAGTCGACAGAGCACAGAATCAGCTTTTCCTGGCTGCTCTCTGCAAGCCTAGGCTGCCTGGTGGAAAAGCGCAGTAAAAGCAGAAGGAAGAAGGCAAATTCACTAAGACATGCTGACAGCAAGCAATGATGGGAAATCATAGCTTTTGAAATGGCCACCCCCCCCCCAATGCAATGAAATAGAAATAATCCTCTCAACCTCAAAGTCGCTTTCCATAAACGCTCTGCCGCAAAGCCACAGTCCCCTTTACTAGTGCCAGCAGGTAGGGACCTCCACCACTTTATAACACATGGCTGCCGGTGTGTGCGGGGGAGTAACTCCCAAGTGCCCCCATGTCCAACCGAGGGAAAAAAATGTCAGGCCACCGTTAACAGAGCTGCCGAGGATCTGACCCAAGCACCAAGCTAGCGGTTAGAAGTTGAAAACAAAGGTATCGGAAGCGTGAGGTTATGAAATCATACAGGTGGACCGGCTCCCGGCGGAGCGCCAGCATCCCGCAATGGCCCCAGGCGCGGGCTCACGGGCTCACCTGGTACACGTCCCGCAGCCCGCACCATGTCCGCAGCACCTGGTGGCAAGCCCGCAGCCTCTCGGTGTACCATCTCCGCAGCGTGGACACCGTCAAGTTCCACACGAAGCGGCTGCCGCTGAACAGCAGGTCCTCTACTCCGCACATGAACACCGAAGCCATTGCCGCTGCTTTCCCTCCAAGCCTGGGGTCCCGATACTGGGCTTGCCACGCTGTTGCAGCTGGTAACCCCCGGGGGTCAGATCTGCCACCAAACTCGCCTTTCACTGTAGGTCCCGGTCAGGTTGGGGCGGCATGTCCCGGGATTGGGCGCCAGCCAGCCAACGGCTGCGGCTGGCACGGAGGCTGTGTCACCCCGCCCGCCCGCA